TTTGGGCTGTTGTTCCGGGTTTTTCCAAGGGGCGCCCTGGTAAACACAAACTTTTCTTTTTTTTGCCCCCCCCCCCCCCCCACACCGCCGATGAATTTGTAAACGGCCACATGATCACCTGTCAGCCTTCTCTTGTAGCGGCTGAAGAGATTCAGGTCCCTTGGTCTCTCGTCAGGCCTTACCTGCAGGCCCCTAACCATAAGAGTGGCCCTCCTCTGGACCTTCTCAAGGTTATCCACATCCCTCTTGAAGTGCAGCGCCCAGATCTGGACAGTACTCCAGCTGTGGTTTGACCAATGCTGCATAGAGGGGGAAGTATCACCTCCCTGGACCTCTTCATGATGCACCTGCTAATGCATGATAAGAGTGTGGTTAGCTTTACTGTTTACTTTATCACATTGGCAGCTCATTTTCATCTTGAAGTCAACAATGACTCCGAGATCCCTTTCAGCTGCTGTGCTGCTGAGAACGTCCTCCCCTACCCTATAGGTGTGTTGGTGATTCCTTCTTCCTACATGCAGCACTTTGCACTTGTCTTTGTTGAACTGCATCCTATTCTTTTCTGCCCACTTTTCCAACCTGTTCAGGTCCGCCTGCATTTGATCCCTTCCCACTAGTGTGTTTACCATACCCCATAATTTCGTGTCATTCCTTGCTGTTGTTTTCTTTTTTTCCGTTTACCTATCTTGTTTAGGTACAAGAGGCCATTGATACCAGAGATGGACTTTTTTGTGCAGAACTAGTGTCATTTAAGCATCCTCATGTTGCAAACCCTAGACTTCAGGTAAGGAAAATTGTTACCTTGCCAAATCGCAGCCCCAAATCCTCCAGTATTCTTTGGGTTGGGGAGTACATTTTCACTGACTTTGGAGAGGCTCTTAATGGATATGAGATTTTTCCCATTTGGATATGATTTCTTGATGCAAATAGGAAATCCATGTTAAATGAAGTAATGTCCACAGAGAAGAATAGCAAGGATAATAAATAAGCAAGAAAAAATTAAAAAAGCACAAACTTAAAAAGAAACCTCTCATACTTGAGAAAGGAGAATGTACCTAGGATGTGATCTGGGGGGGAAAAATTTCTACTGTTATATAAAGCCCTACAGAATTTAAAAGTGAGAAACCAAGACTGTTCAGAAGAAAATTACAACAATTTTATTTATAAAAAAAATAAACTAACTGATAGACTTCAGTAGTGTGATCTCCCCATGCAGTTCCTTAGGAATATTTAAAATATCCTTATTAATAGTCTGTAAAACCTTTCCTTCTGTATCACTATGTAAATTTTAAAACTGCAGTTAGCCAGATATGTGGCCAGAAGAACATTGCCTTGTATCCCATTAGCAATAAGATGCATTCATCGTTCCCTTCTTCTCATAATAACCTAAAAAATGTACAATGGTTTCTAGAAGAATACAGCGAAACGTAGATTGTAAGATCTATACATGTCCCCAGCCTACACTTTTCTCCCTTCCTTTTTTTCCACCTGCCTTGTCTCATTTTACCTTGCCTTCTTCCTGAAAAAAATATTTTTAATGAGCCAAAGCTGTGGCTCTTTCTGGTTTTGTGTTTTTCTGTCCCTTCTCACATTTTTCAACTCTTCAGCTTTCTCCGTGATGTGCTTTTTCCCCTTCTTCCCCAATACTTTACCATACGGGTGGGTAGTTATTTGGGCCAGAGCCACTGAGAGAGTATTGGTGATCTGCTGAGGACTGGTTTAACACCCCCTTATACTCCAGTACCCCCACAGCCTGTAGCAGCTCACCAGAACTCTCTCAGTGGCTCTGCCCTGGAGCCGGCCCTGCACTGTCACTGGCCGATGAGAGTAGTCTGGGACGTGTGCAGGGCAGGGTGTGCTTGGCCAGGCAGGTGGGATGGGGCCATGGGTGGGTGGTGGGCAGGATCCGGGAGTGGGATGGGCAGCGGGGGCTGGCATTGGAAGGCCGTAACACTGCAGGGCTGGAGCTGTGCTCCACTCCCTACATGCCTCTGCCTGTCATGAGGATGGATCATGGCTCTGCCCTGAGCCCTGGCTCCATACTGTCACTGCCCTGTCACCCTATTCCAAGCCCTGGCCTTGGCATCAGCTGCACGTTCTGCTCCTGGATGCCACTCCCCTGCCCGTGGCCCCATCCCATCCACCTGCCAAGCATGCCCTGCCTGCATGGGCCTGGGCTGGTCTACATGAGACCCCACCTGCATGCTCCGTCTGGTACCTCCAGTGGTGGGTGCAGGGCGGATGGGCCATGGTGCCTAGGTGCTGGTGCTGGAGGCAGTGGAGGCTGACCCACTGCCAACTGGAAGGTTGGCCAGTGGCAGCTGGAAGGAGTTGTGGAGGCTGCTGCGAAGTGAGTCCAGCCACTGTGCCCCACTCCAGCCTTGCTGTGCACTCTGGGGACAGTGAGACCAGCCATGCCACAGCCCAGACTGCACCCCACACCTGGGCTGGGCACAGGGACACGCTGCAGGTCAGATCCAGCCCACGGGCCATAATTTGCCCACCCCTGCTTTACCATCTATTCTTCCTGAGTTTCCACTTCTCCTTTCTAAGGATCTTCTGAGGTTCTGATGTCAAATGAAAGTTTGTATGTAGAAAAATACCATTATGTAAAATAATTCTTGGTAAAATATGCCTATGGCTTTCTATTTTTGATTTACCTTACCTTACACTTAAATGCTTTGTTGATTTATTTATTCTATATCTAGCTTCCATCTCCAGAAGAGAAATGTCAGCAAGTTCTGGAACCACCCTATGATGAAATGTTTGCTGCCCACTTAAGGTAAAGGTGGACTGAGAATGAGAAAGTTTAAATTTGGAAGCATTTAAAGGAAGGCATTGAATTTTTCTCTGAATTGATCAGAGTTATTTGAAGTGACACTGTCAACCTCTTTGGTCTGAAAATGTTTTTCATACTCTTGTTACAGTAACCCCTAAAACTGCAAAAGATAAAATATCCCAGACAGTATTTACTGATTTTCTGTTTTTAATTCCATTTTCTAGTCTTAACAGCACATGTATGTAGTCACTGTCATATCTTTTTATTTATACTGATCGTCGCTCTCCTTTTCCAGGCCCTAGAAGAGGGTACTTGCTTTTAATAGTAACAGCAGTGATGAAAGTGAACAGGCAATAAACAGAAGGGAAAAGAAATATTTAATAGAAATAGGAAGAGGTAGTTATAAAACTATAAAGATTAGTCAGGCCACTCTCTTGAACCCAAAATAATTTTGCTGAGTGTTTTGTTTATACTTTGGGGGGGGTTGCATTTACTAGCAGTCCAGTTAACTGTATCATTTTACTTTTTGTTGTCATTCATTTCAGTAACTTGGTACGTTTTCCTTTTTAGGTTGTTTTGAATGGCAGTTGTAGAAAATTAATTTAAAACTGGGGTGGGAGGTTGGTGGCATTTAAAGCCCAGGGGCCAGGAATGGGGTCAGGGATAGCTTTTCCAGCCCCAATTCCCAGCCCCCTTGGGTTTTGCCACCTCCACTGTTCAATTGGGAGCTGAGGGTGGAGACTGCAAAGGGAAGCTAGCAGGAGCTGGGGATGGGTCTTGAGGATGGCCTCCCTGTTCTCTTCCCAGTTCTTACCCACACTGTTCACCTGTGTGGCCAGGGCAGCATTTAAAACCCAGCAGCTGGGAACTAAGGTGGGGACTTGGGGGTACAGTTCCAGGCACACCTTTCCCCCGTTGTTGCACTCGTCTTGGTGAACCAGAAGAATGACCCCCAATCCTGTTCTGCCAATCAGCTTGTGGGACAGGGGACAGGGTCCCACACCTCTGGCTGTCAAGGAACCAGTGTTCTCCTTCCCTCCCTCTTCCTGGGAGGGAGGGAGTGAGGGACAGCAGAAAACTGTGGGATGCTGGGTGTCCTCAACACCTGATAGACGTGCACAGCCGTTGAACTGTGTGTGAGAGGGGAGGGTTCTCCCTGGTTGCAAGAGGTAAACTTTCCTGCAGAAGAGCTGTTTCCTTCTGCAAAAAAGCCCTTGAATGGCTGTATACTGCTTTTGTGCCTGGAGAAAGGCTTTTCTCCTGACACAAATGTCATGGCTGTATGCAGCCTATATTATTACAAAGCTTTTCATTTCACCAAGAAGCAAAAGGAACAACCTTTAAAATTTGTCTTTCCTAATGCTTTCCTTTTTTCCTTTTGACAGATGTACTTATGCAGTGGGAAACCATGACTTCATTGAAGCATACAAATGCCAAACCGTTATTGTCCAATATCCTTTTCTATCAGTCCTCTGTTTTGTATCTAGGATAATTCCATATTTATTTGAGAAATGGAAATTCATCCTGATAATTTAGAAGATGTAAATACAGTTTTAGTTCAGAATATTTAAATTATATAAACTTAAACAGTGAAACCTAAATAAGTATTTTCCCTTCTCTCTACCTCATGCTTTCCAAGCCAGAAGATTAGTAAAATATACAGGAGTCTCCTAAAAGCATTTATACAGACCCTAAATCCCCACTGTATCAAGGTGATGATGTTACTGCAGAGAACTGCTATGTTGAGCCTCCTCAGCTTCATACCTGTGCTTCTGCAAAGTCAGGAAAGGAGGGAACAAGCAACAGAGCTGCCCCTCTCTCCTCTCTTGTATGTCCCTGAATCCTGATCCCACACCTATTCTGTTTTTAACTGATGTCCATTTCCCGAAACTAGAACATAGAACATAGAATATGGCGTCTTTATTTGTGCTGTTTAGCTTTGCAAACTGTACTGTATTAAGTTCTCCTAAATACAACACATCATTCCTGCGAGCATTTCAGGCACATAAAGAAGAAAACTGGTAAGTACTTCACAACAAGCATTAGTGGCCAGACGGATTGTTATTAGTTCATCATAAAATTTTGCCATTATTCAATTAAGATATCTCTATAAAAAAATACTTTAATTAATTTATAATTATGCTTCATCTACATTTTTATGCACAGCAGTTATTTGTATATGGTATGTGACTAGATGTTCAGGTAAAGGCATTATAGGATTTGATGTATGATTCGCACAATCGCACATCCTGCCATGCCACATGTGATAGTGGGATCCAACATCAGATCCTATCATGCCTTATTGCTGGTGTGGGTAGAGTGGGATCACCATTGTGGGTTCTCTGCATGGGCAAGTAGCAAGCTCCTGCAGCAGTGAGTCCTGTAGCATCAAAATCTGAGCCATGGCTGCGCTGCACAGCAGCCAAGATGGAGAGTCTTGCAGCTGTGGACTCTGTCCCGACAGTGCCCCATAGCTGAGGAGACCCTGCTATACATGCAAGTTAGATATGGATAGAAACCAGCTATAAAGTTATTGACATTTTCCAGCTTTAACTTTATTGCTGTTTGGATTTTTTTTTATGGCATGACAGTTACTTTGCACCTGTAGCTGATCTAAATTAATTGCACAGTTAATCAGTTAATTGTATAATACATGTAATGTGTAAAGGGGGGGGGCGTAATGTAAGCCAGAAATTATCTTTTTGTAAAAACCCAACATTCTAAATTAAATTATATGTAGTGTATTTATTTTCTTTTCCTTAAACAAGCTACTGAATGCAAAATGATATTCATTGGAGACTTAAATTGTGGAGCAGATTTTTTAAATATATTTTTCATTCACTATAGAGATTTGCGACATGTCAGCCTTCTAAAGAAACTTTCCTCTTTGTAGAGACTTCCATAGGGAAAGAAAAGTGAGATGTTTATGGAGATGTATAAACACCAGTTAGTTTTAAAAATATGTAGATGTTATGGTTTTGTTGCGAGAGAGAGGTTCAGTTAACTGTCTTTGTTTCTCTAGGGCTTTGCCCATTATGTATGCTGTAGCACTTGACCTTCGAATTTTTGCTAATAATGTAAGTAGATGTAAAACATACAGTTACCATTTCATGAACTTCATCCGTTCATAAGAAATTTAAGTGGCTTAAATATTAAACTTCATCATTCAGCCTCATTTTACTTAATTTTTTTGGAATTGTGTGTTAATAAAACAATGCATGTTTATAATCTCACCATCTGTGAAATTCAGTAGATATTATTACAAATGTAGATTGCTCACTCTGTCCCCATCCTGTGGTTCGCCCTGAAGTAGAGAGGTGCTGAGAACTTGAAGGACATGGAAGTCAAGTCTGGATTTATGGTTCTAAAGACTTCTGTTTGGCTGATTTTTCAGCTTCACTAGTTATTCTATTCTTGGCCCCTTGATTAAGGTAGAATTTTCTTTTACATTAGTTGGAATTTCATAGGGACCCATGTCACAAACCCATCCTTGGGGTAGCCCCAGAGCCCTGAGTTTCTCCCTGCTGTTCTGCTTCCTGTCCCAAAGAACAAACCAAGGTTTGTCTCTGGGTATAGCACAACAGATTGAGGAGGGAACAGGCAACACAGTGGCAGGTAGGGAAGGAAGCAGAAATCAGAGCAGCAGATCAGACAGGGAGCAGGAATCAGAGTGGCACTATAGGAGTGTGCAGGGTTGTTTGTGGCATGCCTGTCAAAAATGGTGGCCTCCACTGGACTTGGAAATGCTTTGAACCAAACAGACAGGTATTTTTTTGTACTTCTTATTGTGACCTCATTCACTTTTGAGACTCTAAACTTGATATGCCAAGTTGCATGCTTATACCCAGAGATTACCTGTAGAAACCTGATTTGGGCTAACTTGGACAGAGGATTTTGATTTGCTGTATTAACGTTTTTTCATTATGAGAGCCAGAGAGTACAAGGATATCCCTCCATCAGCACTGGGTTTACCTTTTGGGAGTCCCCAGACAAATGTTAATTTGTAAGCTTCTTTTTTTTATTTTATTAGACAACTTAAAAACTAAAATGGATGCATCACTATAATGGTTTTTCAACTGCCCTAACACAGCCCTAAATCTCCGTTTTGTTTTGTTTTTTAATTTGTTGTTATGATAGTCACAAAGCACATAGATCATGGGGTCAAACTCCTTTCTCCTAGCCAGTGTAGTCTAGACCGTAGGACTCCTTGCAGGTCAGGTTTGGATGTGGCAGTGGTAGTATGAAGGTTAACAAGAGTCGTTGCTTACTCTCTGCTGGTCATGTATCACCAGTGGGGCTCCAGACCCCAAACTTAATGGTAGGCTCTGCCCCCAAATTCCCATTCTGTCTGGAAGTCCTGTGGGCCAGATGACAGCTGTCAACCATGTTTTACACCCTTAATATAGGCAAATCCCAGTCCATATGGGAACCACTTGCTTCCTTTCATTTATTCTTGGTCCTAGGTAGAGGCCTACATTAATCAATATACAACTTTTAGACCTCTTTAGTCTCATTTATGCAGTATTGCCAGCTTTCGTGATTTTATTTTCAGCAATGGCATATATAGTGATGTTTCTTAAAGCTTCAGCTTCTAGAACCATATGATTACATGAAGGATCACAGTAGTGCTATAAAAGTTTCTAAATCTCAAAAAAGGTATTATATTAAAATGTCACAGTTTTAAGCCTAGCTAATTAAAACATAAACTGTAAGTTAAAGCTGTTAAAGCCACCTTTTTTTTTTTTTTGAAGTAAGATATTCAGAATTTTAAGGAGATACTTTAATTCTGTGTTACAAAAGTAATGTCCTGGGATGCTGGTTTTTGCTGATTTAAAAAAAATATCTATCTATCTACCTACCTGTCTATTTACATTAGAGGCGTTTCATTTTAAGCATGGAAAAATGTGGATTTTGGGGTACTTTTTTAACCTGAAAATTGGGGATATTTTTTAACAGAGAAAACCAGGATCCCTGGTTATGTCACTTGCAGGATTTTGGGGTGGCCAAAGTGACAAATTTACCACTTATTTTACTTACCAAGACAAGTGTTTAAAACACTAACCTTTTGTTTTGAACAAAATGAACCTGGAAGTAGGAGTACACTGTATGTTTCTCATCTTGTCATGCTAGGCAGATCAACAGTTGGTAAAGAAAGGAAAAAGCAAAGTTGGCGACATGCTGGAAAAAGCAGCGGAATTGCTGATGAGCTGTTTTCGAGTCTGTGCTAGTGACACGTGAGTGAAAGATCCTTCCTATTTTGCACACTGAATCATTAAAAAAGTAAATAAATTTCCAATTTGCAAAGCATAAATATTAATTTCTTTCCATTAAGTCAATATCTGAGTCAGCACAGTCACCCCTGTGGCTTGGGTCTTTTTTGTTCAGTACCCTTGTGATTTACTATAGGGGTAGCTTCTCTCTTTCTGGCATTTTTAGCATGTGTTGGAGAGAGAGCTTGATTTTTTTTTTTTCCTTAGCTCCCAAAGCAGACCACTAAGCTCCCAAAGCAGACCACTTTCCTGTTCTGTTCTAGAGTTTGTATACCCTGTTACTTAAGACTGTGAAAGAAGGAGTCTTGCCTCAGTCTTCAGTTTTCCACTCTTACAATTTTAACACTTTCAACCTGGGGAAAAGATTTCTTTGCTGTTTTTTCCTTGCTTCTGATATTTCAGGCAACTAGAATTCTCAGGTACATGCTGCCTATAGGTGTGCAGAATACTCTTTGCAGGGGGTCACCCTATTGTCATCAACTTAGACAATATTACCATCCAGAGGCACTTAAAATTATTGCACCTCTCTCTTATCAGTCTTAAAACCAATGCATCCTCTTAAATATATCTCTTTACTTGCCCACTTCCAGCAAATACCCATAGTCATTTCTTCAAAAACGTGGTCAAAGGCATGACCTTAATTCCAATTTATGTATATTTTAAGTACAAATAAATAATCTAACAAAGAAACTGTGAACAGACTTAAGGTTCTAATGATGTTGATAGAAAATGCAGTTGAGCAAACCTTAAAGATGGCAAAGATCCTAAGTTTGAAAGGGCACCCTGTTTTGATGGTGTTGTATGGTTTAAAATATGAGACTTTCATCTTGACTATGTTACTGGTTTAAAAACACTTATTCACAAATATACACAAAAGGTCCCCAGAAGCAAAATCATATTTTCACTAAATGTTCCTTTTTATTGCTTTTTATCTCTTGTATCAGTCGAGCTGGCATTGAAGACTCCAAAAAGTGGGGCATGTTGTTCCTGGTGAATCAGCTGTTTAAAATTTATTTTAAGGTATGAACCAAATCTAATTACCTGGTTTTCTTTACATTTTGTATTCTAAATCAAGTCCACATTTATCCAGTGGTGCCACATTAGTATGTCTTTCAAACATGTAACTCTTTTCACAGATCAACAAACTTCATCTATGTAAACCATTAATTAGAGCAATCGACAGCTCAAATCTGAAAGATGAATATACAATGGCACAGAGAGTTACATACAGATATTACGTTGGACGCAAGGCCATGTTTGACAGTGATTTTAAGCAAGGTACTGTATGTCAGCAGGGCAGATACTCTGACTGCTGGGACTGAAATCCAGCTGACATGTTTTGTGTGCGAGTCAAAACCTGTTGTGGAAGGGACAGTTGTTTCATTAGCATAACTTACATTTGGTGAGTACAAAAAAAATCCAAAAGGATTTACTGCAGGCTGAGCCTGATTTGGGTAGGGATTGCATTACACTTCTAACTGCAGTGTATACTCAGTTTTAAAATATCTGCCTCTGTGGTGTCTTTTTTTAGTTATTGTGGTATATTTTATACACACATGCACTACAGTAAGTATTTTTCAGTATGAGTATTCAGCCAGATAAGGACATTTAATCCTCAGTTCCTGCATAGAACTGATAACTGAAAAAAAAGAATCTCTGAAATGTTAGAAGTGTAAACTTTTTTTAAAAACAAGTTAAGTTTAATCATTTTATGAAGCTTTTTAATTTCAGGAAAAAATATACTTATTCATGGATATAAAACTTCAGTGGTGGCAGTGCAGACATTGGAAACAGTCCCAGTGTCAGCACTGTAGTCCCCTGAGAACTAGAAAAGAAATCTAATTTTATCTAGAGAAATACAGGAAGCAACAAGTAGCAAAAACTATGGTGACAAAAGTAGGTTTTAGCCTCCTAACTCTTATCTTTGGATTTTCTGAGTGTATGAGTGGTCACAGTGACTTCATATTTTTGCTGAACTGGAATTAATTTGTTAACTACTTTTTCAGCATTAATGGTTATATGTGAGGCAGTTTTTATTTTAAAAGTGACTTTAACAGAAGTGTCTTAGAAACTGGGCATATCATAATGTTACTATTTTTAAGTCTTGGGTTACTGTAACTTGCATAGTACTTAGACAATACTAGTTTTCTTCAAGTAAAATAATATTTCTCATATTCCTGTTCACCACATTAAGGATTCATTTACAGCTCATATAATCCTTCTTGTGTGATATTTATATAAAAATGCATCTATACTTCATTGATTCCCCTCCTTTACCCCTCTGCTCACACAGCATGGTACAAGAAGCCAAAAAGAAAGTTTGAACATAGATATTTCAGTGTCTGGTCTTAGAGCAGACAAACTGTGTTTTTTGTCCTCCCTAGCAGCAAAAACCCATTAAAGCATTTATTTGCAGTGTCACTTTTACCACTTGAACACTTCTTCAGATATTTACAGGCACACATATGTTATGTGACTCCCTTTAGTTTGAAAAACCCTAACATTTATTTTGGAAAACGTTTATGGCATGTAAAAAATGTATTATCTTGAAGTTATCCTCTTCTGTAGCACAGTAATTCTACTGCATTGATATGGAAATCTCTTTTATAATGTGGTTTGATTGTCCAACTACCCCATCCAAAACATACCAACACAGCCTTAGTGACCTTTTAGATAGAGATCTAGTTTTTATTGTAATTTCCTGTCTAATGAATGAATTGATCCTTACTGCATTTGTGTTTTGTTACTGTGCAATTTTGACTGACTTAGTTCCTGTGTGAATGCTTTTAAGTTATTAAAATATGAGAGAAATCTCTTGACAGGCTCAAATCACAGGCTGTGTCCACACAAGCAGGGATGTGCATTTGCAGCAGCACTTTGGGTTACCATATGTCTGGGTTTTCCCGAACATATCTTCTTTTTTGGACCCCTGTCCTCATGTCTGGGTGAATTCTTAAAATACAAGCAAATGTCCAGGTTTTTACTTTGCCTCTGCTTTTCCTGGGCATGAGCAGGTTGGATGCTTGGGGCTGGGAGCAGCGGGCAAGGTGATCGGCTGTCAGGCATCATGGGCTCTGTGTGTGGGCCCCAGCAAGTTGGTCTTGGGTGGGGAAGGTGGTTGTGGGTGGACAGTGAAGGGTACCCACAGGTCTGGGGGGCCAGGGTCTTAGGAGTGAGGGACAGAGGCAGGGCACAGGCATATTGCTGCCACAATCGTATACTCCTTCTGCTCTCCTCCCAGCCCCTCCACTCCCTCCCTGCTCCTCTCCCTTGCGTGCGTCCTCTTTTTTGATCCTGGAAATACAGTAACCCTAGGCCACCAGCATAAATAGCAGCACAAAATTGTGCCACTACTTTGTGCCACAGTGCATACCCCTGCCTGTGCACTTTGCAGCAGGACACATTGTTCTGGTGCTCTGTCTGCTGCGGGGCGGGGGGACTGGCTGGCTGGGGCATGGGGTGCCTTAGTGTGGGGGCTGCTGGGCTGCCTGCTCCCCCATCTCCACATACTGTGTGGTCCCTGCAGTGAGGTACCCTCAGTTGCTCCCTGGCTGGCTGGGGCACAGTGTGGCATGAGACTGGGGAGCAGGCAGCCCTGGGTTGGCTGCTCCCTCATCTCCACATGCTTTAGTGTGGGGGCTCTGCTACTCAGGGAATGGCTGGCTGTGGCCCTAGGCTGCGCGCTCCCTGTCTCCACATTTGCCCTGATGCACGTTTGTCCAGGGTTGTGTTTTTTGATACTGGGAAGTCCCAGTAGCAAATTTTGTTCTGGCGCTGCAAATTAGCAGCACAAGGCATGGTTTAATGCGCAACGCGTGTGGTTTGTGGTGCGGCAAAAGCAGTTTGTGGCACCACAAACTGCATGTGCCTGCATGTCTGGATCCAGTGATAGGGTCAGAATGAACCTAATATTAAAGTCCCTGTTTAACCAGTTTTTGTCATTGGTCTTTGTTACCAGAAGCTTTACTGATCCTCTTTCTGTGTTTGTAGCTGAGGAATATCTGTCGTTTGCCTTTGAGCATTGTCACCGCTCAAGTCAGAAAAACAAAAGGATGATTTTGATTTACCTCCTGCCTGTAAAAATGCTGCTGGTGAGTGCCTTTTATTCCTGGCTTCCAAATAGTTTGCTGTGAGACAGAACATGCTGCACAGCATAGCATTGAGTTTCTTGCCTAGTTTGTATTGGAAGCTGTCTGGGGCCTTATTCAGGTGCAGGAGTTAGCCTATGTAGGGTGAATTGCAGACCTGAGGTTTGGAAACATGCTCGGTCAGGTTCCTATATGACATTGCAGAATTAGTATTTAGGTGCAAAAAAGAGGGGGTCATAAAATTTAAATTTTAAATTATCCGCTTAATAAAAAACATATTTTTTCACACAACTTGTAGGGAGTAAATTGTATTCCTAGCTCCACAGCAACAAAGATATCTGTATCAAAGTAACTGGTGGTCTTACAATGTATTAAGAGCAGGGTAGGATTGTAAGGGGGAAAAAATACCCCCGAAAAGGGTATAGTACCACTGCTGTACTGCACTGCAGTACCATACCATACCATAGCAGTTCCCTCTGACAATATAGGGAGAGGAAATGCAGATCCTTCTCTTTGTTAATTGTGCATTGCAAAGTGGGAATTATACTTGAGTCGGTCTGCAGCCTGAAAGGGGAGAATTCCTTCCTTTATGCTTCTCCCTTATGTCAAATACACAACTGCAAGAGATGGGTACTGGAGGAGTTGTCAGGCAAAGCACCTCAATCCTGGTTTCTCAATGTGTACTAACCTATAGGCTCTCTTAAGCAGTCATAACGTAAAATATGAGATCTTGTGGCATGTGAAATGGGAACTGGGGTGGAAATGCAAAACCCCTCATGGCCTTTAGTAGAAATCCACTGTTTTTTTGTAACCACGTATTTTAGACTTGAGTTGCTGTCTTTGCTAATCTAAAGGAATTTTGGTCTATGGGAAGCCCTGAAGAAGACTGACAACTGTCAAAGCATTGGCAAATTTGTTATAAGCTTCCAAACTTTAAAACATATTTAAAATATATTAAAATCGTATAAGTGACTTTTTGTTTCTACCTGGTTGTTGGTAAACATGAAACAGAGCTCTTTTTCTCAGCCAATTATCTAACCAATAAAGGGGGCTACCAGTGGCATACCATTGAGTACCCTGGGACTTAAATTTAAACTCTGACTGAGTTGATGTGCAATATAATTGTGATGGGCCGGCATCAGAAATGATGCTCAGGGGCAATCAGCATGGATTTATTAGGGGGAGATCATGTCAGACCAACCTGATTGCCTTTTACGATCAGGTCACAAAGGCCATGGATGCAGGTGTCGCGGTGGATGTAGTCTTTCTGGACTTCAGCAAGGCCTTTGACACCGTCTCTCACCCCATCCTAGTTAAAAAACTAGGCGACTGTGGCATAGATGCCTACACAGTCAGATGGATTGCAGATTGGCTGA